ATCAAGGGTTCATATTACTGTATATTGTTTTTGTCATACTGCAGTTAAAACAGTCGTTTTTAATGCATGCATTGGGGGTCTAAAGTAGGTAGCATTTTTACTCTTTAGGGGTTAAAAATTGTTTTTAGCCTCTATGGAGTAAAAAGCAGCTGTTGCCAACTCAGTTGTAAATTTTGATTGTAAACGATTGCATGTATCGAAAATGTGTATCAATTTATGCTGCTTGATCACATTTGAAAATGTAGCTTTTATGTGTATTAGTTGAATTTAGTAATTGTAGAGGACCCAAATTATACAATAATGTGGTACCGATTGTCCTTATTAATTGTAACTAAATTTGTAAAAACTAAGTGTACCCAAAAACCAATTTTATTGACACCTGCCTTTCACAAATTCCAAGGCCCTGAACCAAGCAGTTGTTAATATTGGACCAAGAGAATTCAGTGCTGGGTTGACGTATGTTGCAGTGAGCCCGTCAGAATTTTACATGGGCTGCTTTTCGACCCAGGATTTCCAAAAGAATGTCTGTAAAAGAAACTAGTCGAAGATGATCATTTGTTATCACTGTTATAAAGATTTTTGAGTTATAGTTTTAAATGTTCACTTAGTCGATAACATTTATCTCTACACAATATTTTTTTCTATTTGAAATTGTAGTTATAAATATTTTGAGGCTTTATGGTGGGGGTCAATGGCATTATAATGCCCTGATGACTCCGCTCAATTTTTTTGAAGCGTCTACGAACACCACCTAGTATTACTTGAATTGTGTATAGTTTTTTTTAGTAATATTACCAATTGTTTTATTTTAATATTCAACTTCCTTTTCATACTTTTTTTTAGTAATATTACCAATTGTTTTATTTTAATATTCAACTTCCTTTTCATACTTTTTTTTTTAGTAATATTACCAATTGTTTTATTTTAATATTCAACTTCCTTTTCATACTTTTTCCAAAATAATTACAAATCATGCACCACTAAATCTCATTTTTGCGATTGAAAAAGCTTGGTATTATCACTATGGTATTATCATTATAGAGACAGCAACATAATGCTTAATTATTTAATCTAAAGTAAGTTAAAGGTGAAACCATTCACTATAGTAAAATGCATCTGGTTGTTTTAAACAGAATACTGACTAAGACAAGCTGTTTCATGAATCAACCATTTGTTAGAAGACCCAATGATCAATGATTGTCAGGTAGACAGAATTGCCTCATCATATACACCAATGAAGATCTCATTGTTTCAGTGCTGGTTTGATTCAAGCTGCTGCAGTGGATTGTGTAAAAGTTTCCGATGCAGAATTTCCGATGAACTATTCAAAGGAGTCGACTCATTACTAGGAAACTCCCCGAACAACTTGAACACTGTTCCCAAAAGAAGAATCATTATTTAGACTTACGCTTAAGTGACTTGAATTAAATACTCGTTATTATTAGTTGCATACTGACAAATTTTACATTTTTAAGTTTGGTAAAAATGACAAATCAGCCAAAAATATTATGTGTAGTTGTTTAAAATATTAAAGTAGGTGCCATCTCGATCAAATATTACCTCATTGTAAAAGAAAATATTTTTATATTTCATTGATTATATTAAAACAAAATATAAATAAAGTGTATTATTTCCTGTGTTAATGTCTCTTACATAAGATTCTAGATTCATCAACATATTACCCCTCTATCCTTCTTTTCTTTTGTTTTAAAAGTCTAAATATTTTCAAAATTAAAAAAAATTGACTTTAAAATGAGTGTAGTTTTAAAATTTGCAATTGAGTAGTCTAAATTTGTTGTAAATTATACAAAAAATGGAATAGAGATTCAAAAAGTGTTGAGTGTTGGTAGCACCAATAAGTGGTTTCATAAAATACTGTACCATATATTGTCATTCATTGGTTGAATGTCATTATACTCAATTGAGTCAATTGCATAACTACAGATTGTGTTTTGCATATCTTTCACAATATTGGCCCTCGAATTTCTACCTTTGGGGTGGCTTGATCTTAAAAAATGTAGACCTACGATTAGGCTTTCTGTTAAATGTTGATCTTATATTGAACACACATGGGCTTCACTTTATCAACCCCAGAGAGTGTTTTAAATAGTTTATAACAATTAAGCAAAAGTAGAAGCAGTGTCAGTGTGTTGGGCTGATAAACCAGTCATCGCTGGTTCAATCCTAGCTGCATGCAATGTCTTATCATGCAGCCACAACTGGCTTGCTCATGTGCCTAATACTAGTCTTTAGTTGTTTTTGGATCACACCACAGATCATTAGTCTATGATGACAGACAGCCACAGTGTTTAAATGAAAAGGAACAATGAAAAAACAACAATGCAGAATTCCAAATAAATAAACATTTTACTGAGTACACAAAGTCAACTCATAGATAAAGCCAAACATTTAGATGAGAAAAAATTGTAAAGATTTTGCCAGATAGCATGCTTATGTCTTTGATATAAATAGTTGCTATTGATCAGGTTTTTTTTAGTTCTCAGGTAAGCGATCCAAACCATGGGTGTCCATCAATATGGGCAAGGGGGGGCTCAGGCTCCCCCTATGAGACCCTACGTTAACCAAATTACAACAAATTTTAAAAATTATGCAAAAATAATAATTAATTTTCAAAATGCCTAAAGTAACTTTAGTTACAAAAATTTTTTTAAAATCAACCATTTTGTATAATAAGTTTTTTAACATTTTCTGAGGGAGGACCCTGAACACTCCTTATGGAACAGTTATAGATGGACGTCCATGACCCAATTTTTCGACCCCCTTAAATTTTTCTGGATATGTATGGGATAAAATTCATCTCTCCCACACCCAAGTCCATGACGCTAACCACTTGAAAACGCACCCACATATTATTATTGAGATCATACTGTATAAAGAATGTCACGTCTCGTTAAGATACTATTGTGTTTCTTTTGCTAAGCTTCCCAAATATAATCTATTTATGTAGTTAGATTATTAAAGTGTCTTTTGAACTTTGGTGTGAGATAAAAGATTCAATTCCATACCCTTTGACTTTAAGGAGTTTGAACTACTTTCTCTTAAAAGGCTATAATACAATTAAAACGGTGTAAACCATTTACATTAAAGTTACAGTTCTTAAGCACTAAATTGTTGATAGATTTTTGGTATTATGAAATGTTTCATAAAATGTTTAAACTGTAATGATACAGTTACATCTTGAGTATTCCACACTTCTAAGTAGTAAAGTTCTCAAGAATAAAAACAAAAACTTTTATTAGGTAGACTTGTAACAAAATGTGTTATCTAATAAAGAAAATATGAGTATTTTTTTAGATAGTTACATTACATTTAAGATTTTAACAACATCAATGAAAAGTTCTGGTTCAGAACTATTTTACTCCTACCAACACATATAATACTTACTGCACAGCAGTAAAACTGCTTGAAATGATAAAGTTATTAACAGAATGGTAAAGTTATGGTTTAAAAAAGTTTATTTTTATACCCCTTGTAATTATGATATACAATGCTGAAATATTATTTTGTTATATTTAATAACAAGAGTAGAAATTGAGTTATTACATCCATGTTTGAAGTGTTGAGATTTATCGAGCACTTAAAATGGTCGAGAATATGTATAGAGTGTAGACCCAACTTCACTCGCAACTTCAAAATTATTTTTCGCTACACTACAAAGACTAATTATTTTCTTAATTAAGAGTCGGTAGGAGCCAGTAATTTTGCAATGTTTTTGACCGTCAGCTAGCAGGCAAACAGTGTTGTCCTAGCGCCGATCAGCAAAAACATGCCTTCACGTTAAAGCATTAATCATGCACCATAAGCTTGATTACAGAGTAGAAAATGTGATGTAATTCTTAAATATATTTTCCTTGTAAATTGCTTTTTGGATTTTTTAAGCCGGGTTTTTTTTTTTAGTGGAGAGCGGAGAGAGGAACGCGGAGAGCGGACTCCACTTGTCTTAGGTAATTTAATGTTACTGTTTTCCTAGAAGCGGAGCGGACACCATGTTAATCTCTTTTCCGCTTTCTGCGTTCCTCTCTCCGTTCTCCGCTTCCGCGCCTAGGAAACCCCAGCTTTAGAGTTTGAAAAAAATCATAGATTGAGTCAATATATTTATGTAGTTTGACAAAATAATAATTCAAATTAAAAAGCATAAAGCAAACCACATTAGCTATATCATTAGCTTTAGCGATATCAATAGCTTTAAAATTAGATATTTTGGAACACTTTTATCTTAATAAACAATGCCGTTATATGTTTCAACCATTAACATTGCAGCTAAGGGAAGAAAATCCAAGCGGGCCGGTGGTCCTGCCGACTCTTAAAACAGACTTTGTATATTTCTTTATTACAGTTAGGAACATCACAAAACTCATAGAATTTTGTAGGTTATGCCTTCAATCTAAAGTTAATATTTACTTTGGTTGTACAGTTTTGCATGTTGAAAATTGAAATAGTTGACAAAACAATAACAAATCTTTGTTTGGTTACGTTGGCAAAATCCAAAAAAGATTGTGAACATTACATTCCCATAGTAAACATTATTTTTCCGTAGTAAACAATGTAATCATGAGGTTTTGCAGGTTAGTAAACAATTTAATCATGAATTTTTGCAGGTGATAAACGTGTAACAAAAACAGGTAATATTACGTTACTGTTATTAGTCCTGAAAATAGGTGTTTGCCAATACCATACGAATGTGGTTGTTCCCGTGCGAGACAAAGGCGAGTGTGGGATTACCATACGAGTCCGGTAAACATATTTCGGACGAGTGACATAAAATATTTTACGCCATACTACTCTAAGCTAACTTAACAATAAAAACCTGTACAAATCCTTATATATTCCCACCGACTAAAGGACTTACAACCTTCATCTTGTGTATTGCCTTCCGGATTACTTCATGAATTGTATACAAGAGGTTAAGTTACCTTGATTCTGTCCAAGTAATCCTCAAGGTAACTTAACCTCTTGTATACAACTTACAACCACTACTCATAACCTCAAGAGGGGTTATGTTTTAGTATATAACCACTCATTGGAGTCATTGCCAAATACAATCAGCTTATGTCCGTAAAAACTCATTTCAATAAAGCAGTACGTAATGAAACCCCTGATTAAGCTAGTGGCAAACAGCTGTTTTCTGGACTAAATCTTTGCGTGGGAAGTTTTTTAAAACAGTGTAGTGTGCGTAAACAACATTATAAGTACTTGTATCATAGATTACTCCCTAAGTAGATTTGTCATCCTTACGGATCAGCTGAAGCCAATTTCATGGTTACTTCCATCCGGTGCTCCTGGATTCACGTTTTTGTTTACAATTTGTTATTTCAATTATTTAAAATCTCGTTTAACCAAATAAAACAATCTAGTCATAAACAATTACTCGTCCCCTAATTATGTAACCAAACAGTTTAGTAAAGCACAAATAATGAAATCAACCCTAAAAGAAACAAAATTTTATCGACACTAGCGATCAGTGTCACGAACATGAACTAGACACGAGAAACAAGCTTCAAGTTTAACAATGGGTTGAGAAGTCTACTTGTGTTGGTTTGTCTATGATACTATTTAAGAATGGAAAATGTTGTTCTTAAGCAATTCAGACCTCAGATTGGTAAAGTTCTGGTTTCCCTTCTTCAAACGGCTGCAAGGAGATGCTGATACGATGAGTCGCCGCTGTGCTGTATACCTGATGGCTGATGCGCCTTGGTGGTGCTTGCGGCTTGGGCGGAGGCTGAATAGTGTAGCGTCGTCTGCGCAGGGGGACATTAGACTCTAGATTCTGCTGACTCACTCTGCGATTGGCTGTGAGAGAATGTGGAATCGGATCTGTTGGCTGCACTGGAGTTCTCGTTCCAAAAACTATCGGAATCTCCACTCCAGGTGGGACAGGAACACCAGTCAGCTTCCCGGAAACCTTGACATCGTTTTACAACCTTATATTATTCATATGCTAGGCAGATGCCGCATAACAGGTACTTAAACTCTATATTAATAGTAATAGTCAATACTGGGTACAGCTAGTTCATATAAATGTGTTGTCTACTTCAGTCTCTAAATGTCAATGATGTTACATAATAAGATTGCTACTAATGTAGCTAACACAGTGTCCCAACGCAATATTTATTTCATTCGATTTAAATACTGATAAATAATATATATTTCTTATAGGGGATAAGAAAACTCAATTCCAACAAAAATTCCTCTCTGGTGCATTCCTGAATCCAAGGTCTTCTCTTTGATGAGAAGTTTCAAATGGTATATTAGCTTAATTCTACAGCCACAAGGAACACGGTTGAATGAGCTACTCACACAGTGAACTGCAGTCTATCTTAATAGTCTAGTAATTGTTCTGAGCACATAAACACCAACCTGTATGCAGTATGTGACCAGTACAAGAGATGAGTTGGCTATAGTGGGAGTAAGGGAGGGAGAAGTAGACATTTGACAAACCCAGCTGTGGTGTCTGTTACTGCGTGTTGTCTTGAGGGCTTCAGTCTTCAAACACTGCTTGGTAACTCGGCTCACTGTCTTGTCGTCCAGATGTGCAAACACTGTAGTGACCTGTTGATCAATGCAGTACGTCCATTAGAGAGGGTAGTATTTTCTGAATTAGGAAACTATGATTAATTGCAGTTTTGCATCGTACACTGTTTTAGCATTGACAATAGTCAAAGGTTTTAGGTTGTGGACCCATGTCCAATTGATTATACGGTTCAAGACAAGCCGTCACAAATTTTTCACTAAAAAGAACGTAGTTGAATGAAAGTTCTATTTCTTCTCTTATTTTAGATATTCCGTAGAGGGAAAAAAACAATTTCCACAGGTCTCCTGGTAAGATCTAGACCCGGGAAGGATTCACTTTTTATTTTTGATGTCTCCAGAGGCCAAAAACAAGATCCGTTCAATTTCATATTATTTGATATCTATAAGAAAAACCCAATGAAATACCATTTAGAACAAAAAAAGTATCTTCCACTGACTTGTGTACATTTTGACACTTGGGTCATGGTCACAGTCATAATATTAATGAAACTAAAATGGGCTGTAAACAAGTAAAATGAATACAATTACAAGTTTTAATACAAGTCAAACTAATCTTTCTTGTAATTTTGTGCTTCTAAACCTTAAGTTAATAATTTCAGGAGGGAGCCTAAGTGAATGCACTTGCATTTTACAGTTTAAAATATAAATAATATTTTAATACCTGCTTCAAAGTACAAAACAGATACTCCAGTGTTTTGCTGGTCCCATTGCTGACCTCAACGACAACTGAAACCACATCTCCAGGGACGTAACAGGAGCGAGGTACGGAAGCTTTCAACTTCACTGGTCTGTTGAACAAACCGTACTTCTTGGTGACCTCTGAACTCTGAAGACTCTGTAAATCATACTTTAGAATCAAAACAATATAAATACTTGATGATAAACAACACACTCTGAAAATACTTGTTTGAAGATAAATAAAAACCATGTATTCTTCTTGAAAAAAAAAACAAACATATTGCTATCAACAAATCTACAAATACTACTATAGTTATAGGAATCAAAATCTGAGATCATATTTCTTAATATCAATATCCTTCTTAGTATCAAAACCATACTTTTGGTATCACAACCCCAAACTTTTGGTATATAGGGTCCCCAAAAAGAGACTGCTTTTACTTTTCCCCTATACCATATATTTTTTGTTTTGTTTAAATTTCCTGACAAACACGACATGAAGGATCATTGGCAAGACATTCCGACCTGAAGAAGTACTCCATTTTTGACAGCACAAAACAGCTGTAGTCGTTGTAAACTACAGCAAACATTAATCTAAAGCTGTAACCATTGACTATACAAAGAACTGTAACTTATTGGTTAATTCAGAAAATTTTCAGACGAATTTAGAGGCCATGTTTGGGTTTGGACTAAGCAAAATTACGTAAGGAAGTTTTTCCTTTGAGAGAGAAAATGTTCTTCACACTCCTATTTTGCTTTCTTATCAAGGGTTTTGTCCTGGGTTAAGTGACAACTCAGCGATTGAAATGAAACTCTCTGGTTTAATGACTCTTTCTATTTACAAAACCACAGCTTTCGAGGTAATGATTGTGCCTTGTAGCACTGAGGGCAGACCTCAACAACTTAGTGGTTCCCGGTGTTACTATGGAAGTCACTGTTCAAGCGCCAAATTCACCATAATTGGGCACCATAATTCACGGATGTCCTTATTACATCATGAAATATTTAACTATTAAGATTACCTGAAAGGCCTCGAAGATGTTGATGTTGACTGGGGCGACAAGGTAGAATGGTTTGCGGAAGTGCTGCGTGGATGTGGTTGAGTGAAGATGGACATGTAAGTAGTAAGTGATGTTGCCATAGGTGCTGACGTGAGAAGAGGGTAGGTGAGAAGGCAAACGGAGACTGAAAGGGTAGGTGTACACTCCTGGCTCCAGTTCTACTCCTGGAGGAAATGAATGTACAAGTTTGTACATCTGAATGGTATCATGGAGGTATAAAATTTTTTTGTTAACTGAGTAACATGACATAATACAGTACCAATGTATGATTCACATAAGTTTCTTCTGCTTATCACACATTCTATAAAATTTTCAATAGTGGTGATAAGTACCAGGGTGAGTAAAGAGCTTTCATATTGTTTAGTAAATTTTTCATGAAGGGAATAAGCTTAACGTTTTGTTTGTACAGTGGAACCTCGAAAACAAGTCACGCTAGATAAAAAGGGTCATTTGCAAATCCCCTTGAAATTATTTCACCCCAATTACATGTTATTAGAAACCTCAATAAGAAGTCAACCTTGATAACATGTCATATCAAATAATCCCCATGAGAAGAGTTATCAAGATTCTATTGTAATTGTAAATTAATACAGTACGGTATTCTTTGCACCGTGTAACTAGAGGGGCTTTGGCTATTAGTCTGATCATGCTTTTGTGAAGGGTAAAAGCTTGTCTTTCGAAAGTTGGATAGGAAAGAAAAACATCTCTTGTAGAAAAAGCAGCTAAATCAAATTAAGTTGATTTGTATTCTATAAAAACGGTATTAGATATCTGACACATATCTCCCTCTGGCTTGTCAAGAACCTTTATCATGGGTAAGCGGTGGGAGTAGCTATGATAAAAAATCACAGCTATGGGAAAAATCACAAATGTTGCAGTAGCCTTTAAGCCCTAATTATTACGGTGGTAGGGGTGTTACCATTTTTTTAGAATCATAAGGGTCATAAGATACTAAATTTTAATTAAAATCGGTCAAGCTGTTTTAAAACAATCCAAATTTTCCGTTATTTTATGGGTTTTCATGGATAAATCGCTACAAAAATTCAAACTTAAAGAATATTACAAATTAAAAGAAACACCCAGAGATATCATGAACCCACATACCAAATTTAATCAAAATCGAGCCACAGGTGTGGTCTGTAGCTCTGCACATACTCCCACACATACAGACAGTCAGACACAGACATCACTTCAAAAATCACTTTTTTGTGTTCAGGGGAACCCAAAATGCATATATCCACTCAAAACTCAAACTTGAAAATGTTGATGAAAACAATACTTTCTCCTTGTATAGGGGGGGGTAAAAAATTGTAACAAATTCAACATAGAAATAAGTCTACTTCGTAGTTGTGTACTTTTAAGTCAAAGATTCTACCAACCTCTATAACTTCTAACATCCAGTAAGTGATTAAACACGTCCAAATGCATGTCTGATTCTTCCACCTCCAATTTCTCACATTTATTATCTTCTCCCTCAGCAATAATGAGGCTAAGTGAAGAGACACCACAAAAATTTATTGTGAGATCTGAAAAAATAATTTAAATACTGTAATTCCTAGAATTGTAACTGTGCACAACGCTTACTTCTGGTATTTTTTTTTTCATTTAGAATTTGGTTATGTTTAATCTAAAACTGGTGACCAAACCTCCGTAGACACTCCCCACAGTAAGATTACAAATCTCAAAATTGATCCAATTCCACTATAGCAAAAGGTGTTGCAAGTCCCTCGATGAAAGTTGAAAATTTGTATGTATTGGGAAGATTAGTTCACCAATATTCAAATAACCCTTCTAGCCGAAAAGCTGGAATTGGCTTAAAAGGAGTACAACCACACTTCCACTAGCGCACAATAGTTACAGGGCATAACATGGTTAATCTATATGAGTATAAAAAACAAAATAATTTGAAAACGATATATGACGAATAATAAATCTGGAAGATAAGTTTAGAATTGTCACAATTGAGCTATGTATTGACCAACTTTGTTAGTGCAATATGCTGTTAGGTTTGATTAGTGACTGAGCAGTCTAAAGCTTTGTCTCCCCGGCCAGGGATCAGTGGGTTCAATCCCGTCTTGGTCAGTGAGGTGCAACTCATAAGAAATTAACCTGTCTGTGGCAAAGTTAAGTGAGGGAGGCTAACCTAAAATTAACATTGGATGTCTCAAACTAGAAAGTAGCTGGTTGAGCTATTTTTGAGTTGCTCCTCAAACTAGTCTTTTTTCCACATTTTTTTTTTACTTTTACTTTATATGTCTATTATAATCTGGTTTTCAACACATTTGGATTTGTGTGTCCATAAATTGGGGGGAAAGATGGGACAAATAGGTATAGGGAAATCAATAAAAAGGTGCACAAAAGGTTAAAACTCAAGACTTTTAAAATCTAACGCAACTTAAAACTAACCAAGAATTGTGCACTGTGTCGGTATATTAAGCACTACATCTCCAGTGATTGTTTCATCTGGATGATACACTGAAGAAGTCCTTCCAAACACAACTGATAGCATATTTCAAACCCAAACAACTACTGTATAATAAATTGAAACTAAACACAATAAGTAAAATAAACCTGTTTAAACTCAAAGAGACATTGAGTGTTTGTGTTTATGTCACAACAGAATAATCTTATCATGCATGATATGGCTTCACATGCACTTGACATAGCCTATCAATATCCTGACTGATAACTGATAAGCAATAGCAGATGGGGTTAATAATCTGTCATATTGAATTACGTATAACAATGTACGATAATTTGCAAGTAAGGAATATATTTTGTTAACAAGAAATGTATAGTTCTTTTACTTACTTACTCCCATGGCCATTTGTACCCCAAGTGGTACATGGCCTCACCAACACACTGCCTCCATGTATAGTTCTTTTAGTCCAAGAAATAAAAAGGGTTCCTAGGCTTCATTTTTTTCCAATCAGACCCCCAGACCCAACAAACAGTTAGGAATATAATTTCTTAAAATTCAGCTGAAACAATTAAAATCCTTATGTATCCTTATACTTATATCCTTATTGAACAATGTATTAGGATTTTTTGAAAAAAAAGGATAGAGTTCAGCTAGCTTACCTGAGAAAGTTTGAGTCCAGAGATAATAGATACACAATAAAATACCACAAAACATAACAATGATTTTATCCTAATGTAGAACTTCTTCATAGACTAGGTTGAATAGATGTTTAGGTACATAATTCATGTGTTAGGTTCTTATGCTAGTTTGTTTATAGTTATGTGATGATGTGGAGTAGTATGAGTGTAAATGAAGATACCTGGGCCCTATATATCTTCCTCTAGCCACTGCCATATCACGCACATTTCCTGTCGTAACCCAACTCTATTGCAAGAATTAATCTAACTCGTCAAAGTGCACAATATTACCTTAGCTGCCTATCACAGCCAGCTTTTATGTTCATAATGTATCTAATTATAATATAATGAACAGAGAAATATATATATATGGACTTATTCTAATTCGTGAAAAAGGTTACTAGACTTAGCAAATGTGAATTCAAAATTAGTGATAATAATTGCCAGACCACGACCTTTCGAGAACCTAATAAATTACATAATTGAATTACTATCTACCCTAACCTACACCCTTCCCCAACCCCTACTTCTATTAGCTAGACATCTTAGGCTACAGTTACTTATCCGGTTAAGTTGTACAGCTCCGGGCACTCGACACACACTACTGGTCTCTTGGCTCGCTGCGCGTGCCTACCCGGGCCGACTGCGCGCGCATCCGCGTCACGTGACTTGCGCTATTGTAGCGACTCGCTACAGTTAATAACTTTTCTGATAGAGAACCCATAACGTCTTCATAACAAAATGTTAGGGTAGATATTTTTGTTAATGGAGCCTGCCTAATTTCAGTATGTAGCCTGAATCCTAATTCCCAAGAAAACGAAAAGTTAGTGGCTTTTTGTTAGTTTGGGCCCAATTACTGGGCCCAATTATTTTTGATCATTGGTATTCAAACAAATAGTCCTGGCTATAGAAACACTAGTTGTTGACAAGCCCGCGGTTTGAAAGTGACAAGAGATATTGGCACCACTCTCCCCCTTCTTTCCGATTCCGGGGGAATCTTTTCTTCCTTGCGCCCCCAACTATTTGTTAAAACCCCTTGCACCCCTAGGACAATTAACTAAAGCTGGCAAGGTTGTTGACTTAAGACAGTAACAAAGCTATATATATATAGGTTGTCTCACTCCATTCTATTCATCGTTTATTCATATTCAGGTTCAGAATATGCAATATTGTCTTCCAGCTTTGGTGAAGAGATATTGATAACTGAAATAATACAATAGTAATCCTATAATTATTACAAATTATGGTTTTATAAACTATTAATAATCCTGATAGGTAGGATATTTCTGAAAATTTACCTAAACATGTTAGAATTTAGTTGGTCACTTTCAAATAGGGAACTCATCGCCCCCTTATACCTTGCAGGAAAATAGATATCACAAAATCAATAAATATTGTTTTAACAACGTCGAACAACATGGTAAATAGATGTATTAATCTATTGCTTGCTAAGTTATCTTTTTTAAATTTTAATCGAAAACTACTTTTATTTGTAACGTCTCACGTTAAATTACAGGCAGAATACTTATAAGGGGTTACTAATTTCAAAAGTACAACAGTACCTATTTTTTATTACAATTTATCTTACACAATATACACAGAGATTTGTCTATTTACACTAAAGTAGGTCCAAATTCTGTCTGTTTTCTCCTAAACTTATGCAACAACTCTCTCTCTTTTTCTGCCTCGGTTTCCACTTCCGAAGCTGCCCAATCCAACGCTCGGCGAATCTGTCTTTTGCACTCCTCTAGTTCTTCATAAGTTGCGTCTCTTGCTGATATCTTATGTATGGATACAAACTCAAAAGGGCGTTCAGGTCGAAACTCCTCCGGAAACTTATGAAGCACACCTACAAAAAAGCGATATTTGAAGGCGGAACTTTGGGACCAAGGAAAAGTTCACAAAACATAACAGTAGGGAAGCTACTAAGTTAGTTTCCTCCAATAAAAACTGTAACGAGCCTTTTTCCTAGGGGGGTAAATATTTGCTATTTGACCGCGCACCTATTGCTGGCATCAGCAAGCGGTGGCGGCGAACCTGGCTAGCGCCCTTTGACCCGGCTTATCAGTTCGGATAAGCTTGGGTATCCCGGGACTACTGGATAGCCGAGCAAGGACATTCTAGTCGTGGATCCCGGGCAGTGAAGAGCGAGCGTGTGTCTAGTGAGACGTCCAGTGGTGTACGTAGAGAGGAGTGTACGTGACAGTGGTGTCGGAGTACGTTGGTGGTGTGATCGCGCCGAGTGTTGGTGTAAGTTGGGTACAGACCCACTATCGGTGAGTGGACGACGTTCCTTACATTTTGAATTAAGAGTTGATAGTTATTACTGTTAAAACGCGATACTGATTCTTCTAAAAGGGGTATACTTTTTAAATAATCTCAAGAAAACATAGTACAAAAAGAACTTCAATTTTAATCAGACATAACTATTCAAGACCAACTCTAACAATCAATCAAAAGGAAAACACTAATAATTGCAAAAATGTAAACAAATAAAACATCTGATGAATTAAATTAATACATAAATAATCATCTAGAGACAGTCATTTTCAACATACTCCCACCTTTTGAGTCTTAAGTTTCCATTGTTTAAAGACTCAAAACACATATTATTGTAATAAAAGTTCAGTCTTTTTGGTAACTTAATTTGCTTTCCTCGTTTTCTAAATTTAACTTTATTTACAACTTTTCCATTTGAACTTTCTTTATCTTGCACTTCTTCTACTTCTTTTTCGTTTGAACTTTCTGAGTTCAAAATTGCTACACTTGATGATATAGACTTTTTAAATTCATATCCAAAAGCGTCTTCATCACATATCTTATTAATTTCAGATTCCATCCTGACAGTTACAGGATCCTCTATATTAGGAATGTCTACACTACACTTGTCAGAAATAGGTGTTAACAAAGATGTAACAGTCATTACACTTGATTCACACCTCACTCCTTTTAAATTTACTTTCCCCATTAACACCCAACCAAGTAAGGTTTCCATAGCAACTAAATCATTCGTCAAAACATGACGTTTCCCTGTAAACAACTTTCCACCAATATCAGACCCAATCAAAACTTCAATTGGCCCTTCTACAGTGTCAGAAACATTGATACCAAAAGACTGCAGTTCATTAATCCAAGGACCCGCTTTGATTGTTGAAACATCATTACATATCACATCTTGATCCAACACTTCAAAGTTGCAATAGTAAGCATTACACAAATCACTTAACCTTACTTTATAACGATTGTGTTTTACAGCATTTGTTACTGATCCACCAAACAATGCATGATTAAGGGTTTCTTTTCCAAATGATACATACCCCATTTCTTCTGCAGTTTTCTTCAAAATGTAGGACCTTTGAGAACCAGAGTCAAAAATGACACGTGCTGCTCGTTCTTTATTACCTCCTCTAATATTCACACGTACAGTTTGTAAAAATACTTCAGAGTGTGCATTATTAGCTAAATTACTTTCACAAGGTACTAAAGTGCTATCATTAACATAATTTACATTAGATTTATCTTGAGACTTGTTACACATTACTGTTGCATGTCGACCATTGCAAAGAGAACAGTTTAGTCGAACATGACACTTCTTACTAACATGGCCATACTTTGTGCAACGATAACAACATCTGTTACTTGACAATAGGTTTACCTTTTCTAAATGTGTCAGATTACTACAACTCTTACAATTTTCTGTCAAATGTTTTTCACCACAAAAAATACATTTCATAGGGGGTTTACCAACCTTTTGGTTGACAAGTCCGGCTGCAATTGGTATTGATTCCATTTTGTCTCTTAAGAATGGTTTGGATGACTTACCCAATTGTCTCTTCGAGTCCCCAAAACCTGAGGTAGCAAGTGAAATTCTTTCCTCATTTGTCACTTCAATTCGCAGAAACTTCAAAAGCGCATCGAGTCTATTCTTCAAATCAGCTTCTGGATCAAAGTCGGGATGACGTTGCCACGCCCTTAAAAGATCCTCTGGCAAACACGACTCAACTAATGGGTAAAGAATAGCCGCACATTTATCAGTAGTTACTCCTAATGTGTCAAGAGCTCTGATTTGACATTCTAATTTGTCAAATAAAGTCGAAATCACTACCTTTTGTCTCAAGTTATTGAGTAGCAGCTTTAAAAGTTCTCGAACATAGACTTCTATCAAAAGATCATCCCTTCCAAAACGACTTTTTAAACTCTGAATAGCATCTCTATAATTCTCTGATGTAGCAGGATAGCTATCTACAATTTGTCTCGCTTTAGAATTTGGAATAGTGGCCTGAACTAAATAGTGGAACTTATCAACATCATCAATAGAGGGATCTTCATCTATCCTCTTAAAAATTCCCCAAAAAGGAAGCCATTCTTTAAGATTCCCACTAAATTGTACTAGTTCAATCTTGGGAAGTCTAAGCTTAGTCTTTA